TGACTTAATTGATAGAGTTGCAATCCAAGAAGTGAGTCTCATTCGATATCAACACAACTAGCATACATTTCTACATATCTAAGTCAAGTATCGACAACTCGATCGAGAAAGGGAAAACTCCTAAAATTTATTTCGATTAATGGCAACAAGAAATTTGTCCCTTCTAAATTTCCATTCGTATCTTTATTTAAAAATCTTCTAGCTTTGTAATGTAATTTTAGAGGAGATAAATGTGATTTTCGACGAAATTGACTTTGAACTCACCGATTGATCGAAGAGACGGATGGCACGTTGTCCTGCGAGCAAATACCTTCAGCGAGCAATCGATCCCTGATCTCCCACGCGAACATCGTCGGATTGTCCCTCTTGTAATTAGCGATCGCCTCGACAACCGGCGGCGTTGCCACCTTCGGCTTCGAGCCACCTATCACGCCAGCCTTGAAGCTGCCGGTTTCGTAATACCTGTGAACAAGAAGAGAAACCAACTCGATGGATCTATGTCGCGATTTTGTTACATTCTATACGTCTACGATATCGCGACTTTTCAAACTGCTATTTTTATATGTCACGTTTAGAAATCTTTGCGACCAATTGGAAATTTGACCATAATATAAACTATCACAGATATGTTAAGTCGCAACTTATTCAGGATTTTTGAGTGAATAGCAAGTGAGAAGAGAGTTTGAGAAATAATTTAGTGAAGTAGCGTAATAGCGTAAATTAAATGCATTCTGTATTTCCTGTGATTCAGAAGAAATTCTTCTCAATTACATGACCTTTCTAAAAATCTCAGAATCGTGACACACATCGCTATCACACGCAGTCAGTTCGTATGTTAATTTCAAATATAAAATGATCACAAACTCTGCCCCGGAAGGTATCCTTCATCGTCCACGACTTAAATTCCCATTGCGATCCCGTGCAATCTTGAAATCACGATACCAATCGAGAGGAAATGCAGCCGATCCCTATTTTTTACGATCGAGTGGAAATCAAAGGGAGCGAGAATGGCGAAAGAGAGGAACGGATCGTTTTTCCCGCGAGCGTGCGGCCAATGCCGGAATAACGAATCGTCGTCCAGCGGCGCGTCAACGACCGGCTGTTTTAAAACAAACGGCTTTTGCCTTCCATCCTGTATCTCTCTCCTCCTCCTTCTCCTCCCCCCTTTTCCCTTTCTCTCGTTCTCTCTCTCTCTCTCTCTTTCTCTCTCTCGCTGTTTCTCCCTCTTCTTTCCCTCCCATCGAGCCCTCCCGGGCGCGTGTATATGCGCGTACCGATGGCCAATTGCGATTGGCCCGCCGTGAACGCGCCCTTTGTGCCTAATTAGTTAAATAATATCTTCGCTGGTGCTTAAATTCAATTACGGCAGAAAGCCCGCAATAATGGTCCGCTTGTGGGCCGCCTTGATGGATGTGGGTCCGCCGCCGGCGTCGACTCATGGCTCGTTCAAACTGCCAGCCAATTTTGTGCTGCTTTCTCTCTTTCTCTCTCCTTCTCTCTCTCTCTTTCTCTTTCCATCGCTTTTCTCGTTCATCGTTTCGCGAAGGGGAAAAAAAAAAAAATATTGTCCGGTGAAATTCATCTGGTGTCGTTGTCCACTCTCGATACGTTTCTTCCGAACACGATACATTCGAGCTGGAGGAGGGTGGTGTCGGTTGACGTTGTATGAGGTACGTGGCTTGTTCTAAAGCGTGAGAAGTTGATTCGAGTTGGAAAGAGTCTTGCTGACTCTAGGGGGAAATTAGTGGTACATGAAAAAATCCGCGATGTCTAGTAGACGGAGGGGGGGGGGGAGTGGATGGATGAAAGTAGTTATAATTGAGAATCGGTTTTGAAGAGAGTTTTGAAATTTGGATTGTTGAGGTCAACTTATCAATTTGTTCTCTCACGGTCTCTTAAAAGAAAAGAAATATAAATTCTTTACATGAATTTTATTTTTCGATCAATGCACTTCATGTACCCACGAATTTTTTCATTCTAATAACGATCATTTAATTGGCATTAGAATATTGATAATAAATGTTAATACGTAATACGTAATATACATACTTATTTCTTTAATTATTTATTACTCCTACCTTTGTACTTGTCAAATAATATAATTGTCAATGTTTATTTAACAACAATCGATAATAAACAACATTTATCTATATCATTGAAAATATTCTCTAAAATTTAGCAAAAAGTAAACGAATTTAAAACATAATCTAATCGTTGACAGTGGGAGGGGGGAGAGGGGGTAACTGCTTATATCGTACGTTAAATCATGTCACGATGCATCATACGGCAATATTCACCCTAAACAAAAAATGACGGTGAACCTGTTACAATCGAAAGCGTCGGAGGGGTCTTTTTAAACGATCGGGGCCATGCCGCCCCGTTTCGAAATTATTACGATTATATCTGGCGTAAAACCCCATTCCCGGTTCGCACGACCCGTTCCTACACCCAATGAAATGCCCATTACGTCGGACGATTTTTTTTGAAATCGACCAAATTACCATCGTTCACCCTAGCTTATATTAATTTTTCGATTTTCAGTACAATCGTCGATAGACTAAGCGCAATTTTTCTTTTCTAGAATTCTGCCCTGTGGTAATGGCAAACTGTTAAAGGGCGGCCGATGTCAGCCATCTTTGGGTGAGTTGAAATTTCTGTGGATTGTAGTTTGTAATTTTAAAAAATTCTCTGTGTTCATTTCATCATGAATTGTAATTTGAAAATTCTATTTTATTTTTCAACCATTTTCGGCCTTCCAGTAATTTCTTTCCGTGTTTTATAATACTGTTGAATTATATTGATGGCAAGACGATTCGCATTAACTGTAACTTGGGATATTTTAAAAAATTCTACATCAATATAAGCAGTTCATATTCTTCAACGCCGAAGAATGAAGTTAGCGTTAAAGAAACGTTCGTATTCGTTTCTCGAATAAGTCTTAAAGCGTCACTTTGTGCATTGACAATGTTCCTCTGTCAAACGAGAGCTGACACGTACTTTTCAACACGGTCTCCGTAAAGCTTCACCTAGCCAGAAACCGGCGTTTCCGTTTCGTTTGTAAGTACGCGTCGAAATTGTCGCGATTCCGCGAAAATCCGGGGCACACGATGTCGCGACTTATCAGTGGCGCGTGACTGCATAAAGCTTAGGCGTTAACAGCGTCTCATCGTCGAAGTTTAAGATCGTTTTCACCGTAGTTTCGTTAGAAAAAGTGACTATAAAGTCTGCACATCGTATAGCTACAACTGTACGAACAGTAGAAACAAAAATTCCATGTATCATTTGAAGTGACATTCGATAGTGTTTAGAAATGCAGGAAGAATATTTGAAAATGAATAATTTGAAATTTGCAAATATACATTAAAAATTTAATGTTCAGTGTATTACTTAATGTCCTACTTTTCACTCTGTAAGTTATGTTCGTAAAAATATGAAACTCTATAAACACTTGTCATTTAGATATAAATTTACAAACACTGTATTTTCTTTTTTATGATAAATTTCTTTTCTAAAACATTCCCCGTTTTAATACACATGTTTAAATTGCAAGAGTAGAACTTTTATTCGTTCACTTTCCTCAGAGAATTATTCGTGACGTTTTTTCACGCGGATTAGAAACTCCATCGCTAATTGTAACTATCTCTGACGAAACACGGCACGAAGGACTATGAATTTCATCGGTAGTTTCTAAATTTTAATTGACCAGCGTAGATCCAGAAAAAGACGAGAAGTATCAAAAGAAAAAAAGCAACAGCGATTGCTCCATCCTAGTTGGTTTAATTTATTCTCGCTTGGTGAGAATTTTTTCTTCTCTTTCTTTTTTCCCGTATAAGCGATTAGAAAATCGATTGCGAAACATGTGGTCGTTGAACCGGGCGCGTTTTCTTTCCAACGTTTGATTCACACGTTGCCCGCCATCGCGACTTATCGATCCGATCGGCTGTAAATCCATTGAAAAATAAGTGCATCGTGCTCGATGCTTGACGTTAATATAGCTGTTAATTTCTGTTCATAACACATTGCCGTTGATATCGTCGCGCAATAAATCGTTCGGACATAGCGCGTTTGATTAAAATCGTCCCCGGATTTACGATTAATCGCCGACGTAGTGGCAATATCCTCCGAATGAATTTCCCTAATTTTCTACGTTGAACTCATCCACGCGCGAAAATTTCTATAACGACCCTCTGTCTCACGCTGCTGAAACGAACATTTTTCATATTTATTTGTCGTCAATGGAAGCGTGAGTGAAGAGCGTTAAGTAGAATGGGTATCTAATGATCAGACGCTAGACTTACTGATGACCACAAAATCTGTGATACGTAAGATATTTGAAAGCTTCAAACAATGAATGGTTGGTTTCTTAGAAAGTTGTGGAACTTCTGCAGATACTACTATAGTGCAGGTTCTTATGCTGCATTTATTATCCTGTTATAAATATAAAGATATAAATATTATATGAAATTTTGGAATTTTTAAATCTGATATAAATTCTTCAAAAATATATACATATGTTTATGAAAGTGGAATGGAATAAAAAAATCTATAAAATTTTCAGATGATATAAATGTTGCAAGACATTTTGGAATTTTTACAAACACTCGTTCCCTTTGACAATTTTCGAGTTTGGAGCGTCTTAATATTGTCAGAAGCATAGAAATCCCACGGCGAAGCTTTAACCTCACTTTGTCGAATATAAATTTCACCCTTCGAAACTTTTATTTATCGCTTCCTCAATAAAAATTTCCGCGCTCGGGATGCTTTCAAAATTCGTTGGACACT